TTCTCTGGTTGTCAGGGTTCAGTGAGTTTAATGGAGAGCAAATGCTTTCCAAATGCCAGGTCTGTGTCTTCTTCCAGATAGAACTGGAAGCGCCAAAGGCCTTGAACATTTAATTTCTCAAACTGTAGCCCAAACCCTGCCTATCTAAGACAACAGAAACTGCTTTTTCCTTAAGCAACTTTGGGAACAGCAGCACAAACATTGCCTCTGGAGTGTACATGATGTATGGGATTGTTTTGAAAGTGCTGGGTAGCTCGTGTAAATGGGACACTGGAAACAAAAGCTGTGATGCTCATGTTGGCAACCTAATGGATGTCTGGGGCATTATCTAGCAAGTTCCACACTCTTGGTTTTCTCATGTCAATGTCAGATAAAAGAAACAACCTGACTAGTTGCTGGATACTGGTTAGCTTACTAAATTTTATACTTCCTTTTTCTTGCCATCTTCACTGCTTACAATGCCAGCCTACAGATTCAGGTCCAAAGTCAGCTTAAATCAATTTAGAAACGTAAAAATACATGTAAAAATCTGCACTGGAGAAGATGATATACAGTTAGTTCCCAGTGGCTATGTAAACCTTACTATAACCTCATTCCTGTCTAGTATTTTTAGACTCAGTTAGGTTGCTTCCTAGTTTTTATGCATTGTAATCTCCATGATGTACAGAATTTAGGGTACAGTAATTTATACTTTTTCTGTTTTCTGTCAATATGATTTATCATAGATGATGTTCATGCAACATTCAGTTTATATACAGTTTTGTAGTGCCATCTCTGTTGGCTGATCTACAGAAAGTATTCCTGCATTGAAGTACTAAGTGAGCTTGGTAATTGTGGTACTTGAGTGCAGTTGGCTCAAAGACTATGGCCAGACCAGAGACAGAATTGCTATAGAGCTATTTGGTCACCCACTTATCCTTTGGAGTAACTAGTGATGAGATCCATATTCTAAGGGCTCAGCAACTCTTGTGGGAAATGTTTGATCTAAATGGTATTATATCTCACAGAGTTATCTTTTTGTTATAATAAAGTGCCTGAGCCTAAGCTATGGTGACTGTCTGTTTAAGAATATGTCATTTGCAAGTTACAGAGCAAGCCCCCTACATCAATAGCTAGCAATTACATCAAACAGTAAAAGAATGCCTTTTAAAACTTGACAAGTGACTTAGAAAATTTTAGAGTGTTTCATGAACACTTTCCCTTCCAGATTATATTTTAAAATTTTTCTTTATTGAAATATCTCTATAAGTTCTTTGAGCATTTTGTATGTGTTTTGAACATTTTTACCTACTCTTCCTCTAGTTTCTCTAAGATACATCCCTTCCCTACTTATTTTGTGTTCTTTTTTCTTAACCGGTAAAGTCCAGTTTATGTTGACCATATATTTCAGGAAGTGTGGTTGACTTAAAACACAGGCTACACTTTTAGAGAAAATGGACTCTCCCTCCCCCAGCATTTTGCCATTGCCTGTAGCTCCTTGGCTAACAGTGGGATATTTGATTTGGCTTGAGTCTCCACTGGTTTTGTACATGCTATTATAACCACTATGAATTAGTATGTGCAGCTTCCCTGTTATCACCAGAAGAGAGTGTTTCCTTATAGTCGTATTCTCCATCTTACTGTTAGAATCTTTCTGCAAACCTCTCTCAAGACCATACCTGAGATTTCGATGTAGATGATGGGGTGAGGGTACAGATTTCAAATGTAAGGTTGAGCATTTCTGTCTCTCATATTTTCTGTACCCTGGCCAGTTAGGATTCTCTATATTAATCATCATCATCATCATCTGCTACAAATAGAAACTTCTCTGTTTCATTAATCTATAATGTCATTAGGAATTGGTTTAATACTATGTCTATTTATCAGAATAATAATAGTGCATTCTACCCCAAGGACTATGAACTGTCTACCCAATGGCTTTGTAGACCAATAGTGGTACCAAGTATGGGTTTCATCTTGTGGAGCAGGACTTAAATCTAATCAGAAAGTGATTGGTTACTCCTATGACATTAATGCTGTTATTGCAGCAATGACCATGTTTTACTGGTGCTGTCACTGCTGTAGGTCTCAGGGTTCACAGCTTGATAAAACTTACGATTACTTTTTTCCTCTAGTAGCATGGGGGTCGACTCCTAGTACCATAACACCTAGCCAGTAGAGATGAAACTTCCCAGTGAATAATAGCTTGATTTCTCAATGATTCAAGTATGTAGTATCTTCAGCAAGAGGGTCTTAACAACAAGTTCTGGTGGATAATCAATAGCATTGGCAGTGGCTTGTAACATTTGGTGATCTATAGGACCTTCACTGGGCAACAAATCCAAAAGATGGGCTTTTTGTTTGTTAGCCTGTAGTATCTAGTAGGAACAGTGCCACCCCAGCAAATGGCAATTCAATTTTATTTATGTTTGTGTGTATGCGTTAGGAAGCTTCTACAGAAGTAGTTTTCTGTGTGATTTTTGAAAGGCCATTAATGTCATTTATCCCTCCCAATATTCTCTCTTCTAGCCTGTCCTCTCCTATCTCTTTCTATTCCACTATTTCCCTTCAACTCTTTATACCACTACATTTTTCTGTCCTTTCTTTAAAGCATTCCCTCAGCTACTCCCAGTACTTACTTCTTTAACTCTACAGATATTCCAAATAAATACATATATTTGAACATTCAAAACTAACATCCACAGTGAGAAAAAATATGTGATATTTGTCTTTGTGGGTCTACAGCTATTATTAATTCACCTGTGTGTTTTCTTTTTGTGTTTCCTAAGATAAAAAAATTGTATGATATTGGATAAAATTACTCCATATTTTCTAGAGCCTGCAATTATGTGTTTTATGATGGTGCTGTTATATGATTATATTAATTGTTTTTGGGGGGACAGGAGTTGGGGTGTTGAGGTAGCGTCTCTGTTGAACCTAATCTATCATGGATTAGGCCAGCCTCCTCAAACTCACTGACATTTTTCTGTCTCTGCCTCTGCCTCTGCCTCTGCCTCTGCCTCTGCCTCTGCCTCTGCCTCTGCCTCTGCCTCTGCCTCTGCCTCTGCCTCTGCCTCTGCCTCTGCCTCTGCCTCTGCCTCTGCCTCTGCCTCTGCCTCTGCCTCTGCCTCTGCCCCCTGAGTGATGATTTTGAAGGCATGTGCTACTACTACCACAGCCAGCAGGAAAGTGCTTCTCTTGAAATGAATTTATTATATTGAAAATTGTACACAGTATATTTTGATCATAGTCTTTCCCCACCTCTCGTCCAACTGAACTTCATATTTATTTTCTCTCTTAGAAATGTGACAAAACACACACACACAAATCATAGACTCTGTGTTTGCAGCATGAGGCCTCCTCTGAAATATCAGTCAGTAGTGTGGTTCCTTTCAACTAGTCATTTAGTAAATTTGTCAGGTATGGTATGAGATTCACAAGTGGTCAGAGGCTATGTGGAAGTCCTCAACCCATGCTTATCAGTATTTTCCTTGAAGAACTAACTCATTTATGCTTTTTCTTTGAGTTAAATCCTATGATAGAAATAAAAACATCAAATTATTCTGTGAATGTAGAAAACATTTAAAGTGTTTTAATAATATTGCAACCCATTTTGATCTGATTTTGAACCCCTTTCATTTTGGTTATTTAGTCAGAGGTGATTTTTCTGTGGTTTCATAGTTGAGAGAAAGGTAATGGAGTCAACTTTGTGAATTCAATCTCTGCATCCTGAATAGATAAATACAGAGTAAAGTGTCTTCCTCCTTTCTCTTGCCAATGAAATCATCTAGTGGATGAAAACTGTCCCTTTTTAGAAGGACTGGCATCTATGCAGAGGCAGCCTGAGTGCCAGAGGACACAGCCTCAATGCAAACCAAACTGCAGTGTCATTCACAGACTGTTGCTAGCATTTCATTAAGCCGGAAAGCAAATAATTATCTAATAATTCTGTTCACTAGACCAAAATCTTCTAGCACCTATAAGAACAATGCCATTTGCCTTTGTGTGGATCAAAAAAAAACCACATTTTCTATTCTTTCCTTTTCAAATAAAGGCCATTCTTCTAACAGGCATCAGCATTCCTCCTTCACCTGCAGAGATGTATTTCACTTGGTTACAGTGAATTAACACTTCCACTTTTCTTTTCTCTGTGGCAGAATATTTTCTGACCTTTGATCTCACTAGTAAATATAATATCTTTGTCATATTTATTGTGCTTTTTGCTGCACAGTGAACACATGCGGTAAATCTGAGGCTAACTGCAGAGTTGGAATAATTTTTTGTCACAACTGAACTAACTGGGTTGAGTAGTTCTTACATGGCGTGTTCCACTTCACATGGAAATGGTGGATCATTTGTCTTAAATGAATTGTACTGTTTAAACCACACTGCTATAATGGCCCTCCAAAAGCATACTTAAGAAGCAGATAGATTGCCCCTATAGATGCTACAGATTTCACTTGCTTTGCATACAAATACCATTTATCTTGTATTTTAAAATAACTTATTTTGTTGTGTATTACATTTTGATAGATTTTTCAAATTATTTCTAGTTTTCTTTAAACAAACGTATTTGTGAATTGTGAGAGTTCATTGTGGAATAGTGTGTGCCTTTAAAATCTTGATAGATGAACACAATCTAGCCATGTAGTTTAAATGTCTAAGTATAATCTTTCTGATGTGAATCATAGTGTCAGCCCAATAACAAATGTGTTTTCCCCAAGTACTCTAAAATTTCAAATATCTCTCTCCTTATTTTATTCAACAACAATCTGCAACTTATTTTCCCCCCAGAAAATTGAATCTGTTACTGCTTAATATTCCTACCAGTTTTTAAAATGTGGTTTATATTGGCATCAGAGCAGTAATTTACATATTTTTGGATAACAAGAATGTAGGCCTGAAAAAGATCAACGTAAAATAAAATGCAGAAAAGCTGTTTTCCTTCAACAACTGCTCAAAGGAAAGCTAAGAGAACAGTTGATGAGCATCTGGCCTGAATGTGTCACTTCCTTCTTCAGGTGAAGTGTGACCAGTATTGGCCCAGCAGAGGCACTGAAACTCATGGGCTGGTCCAGGTGACACTGCTGGATACTGTGGAGCTGGCCACATACTGTGTCAGGACCTTTGCGCTTTATAAGGTTTGCTCTTTGTCTTTGTTCTCCTCCCCGTTCCTTCCATTATTTAAAGAAACCAAATCCCTTAAGCCTTTACCTAAATCTTGGTCGCACTGGGAACAGAGAAGAATATAATCTTTCTTGAACTATCATCCAATCCTTTTTCTCCTGCACTGGGGTTTTATCAGTAACTATGAAAGCTGGCCTCAGAAGAAAGTTTCACCAAATGGAAGAATGAATTCTTCCTATGAATACACTAGAGCAGTCCTGATGGCAGGGTGCTTCTCACATGAAAGCTTACCTGCCTGAGCAAATATGTATCATTTAGGAACAGCTCAGGGCTTGGGACTCCAGGTAGTGTGTCTTCAAAGGCTGTACCCTAAGAGGAAAGAATTGAGATAGCATGTTTTAATGGTACTCATCCTTACCACCTAATGTCAAAAAGCAGCATCTGAATCAGTATTCCTGTGTCACAGAATGGCTCAAGTGAGAAGAGGGAAGTGAGGCAATTCCAGTTCACTGCCTGGCCTGATCATGGAGTTCCAGAGCACCCCACGCCATTCCTCGCTTTCTTACGAAGAGTCAAAACTTGTAACCCTCCTGATGCAGGGCCGATGGTTGTGCACTGCAGGTAAGAACCATTGGCAGCATTTGCTGTATTTGTAGTCAAAAGGACCAGGGGTGGAAATAGAAGTTCCAATTATCCCACGTTGAATGTTCTCTTTGAAGCTTGTTGATACTGAGAAATGATAAATACCTTTTTCAAGTGGCTATTGCTCATCGAACCTTGTACTAAGATCAGTAGGAAAGATTTGATAGAAAGACATAATGCCTCCCAACCACCATCCCACCCCACACACTACTTTCTCTTTGTTGCAAAAAATAAATAACAAACATAAAATTAAGTACGTATGTGATAATAAACAAAACAGAAAACATTAGATGTTAACCTTATCACCAGGGTTAAATTTTACCTTCTTTATGGAAAAAAAGTTCTTTAAAAAATATATGTGTGAATTTTCAACATGCTCCTGTGGGCTGAATTGATGTAACATTTTCATTATATAGGAAAGATGTGGAAAAAAACATAATGCTACAGCCATCCAAGCATTCTGGAGGATGTTTTAGTGTAAAAATAGATATATTTTATCCATTATTAAAATCAGTTCACATACAAAAGTACAACATCTTGATCTTTTAAATGGATTTGATAAAAGACATTAAATTTGGAGTAAGTTTTATTATGTACATTGAAATGATAAATGGTATTTCTCTTGAAATGTATAATTTATACCTTCACTCAATTCTGACTATAAATTACTATATAATCACAAAATGTCTGTATGTAAGTGTTCATACATTTTAACATCCAGCTTATCTCTTCCAGATGCCTGAGTTCCTCTCAAATATCTCCAGTAATAAAGTCAAAGTGCCTACTTAGACTCTATATGTTATCTAATACTGGGTGTTCTCTGTTCTGTGACACTACATGAATGTGCTCATGTAATTTCACAATAGTTCTTTATAACCTGAGTATTTCAAATATGTCCTCTTGAACGAGGGACTCAAATTAAAGTGGAAGTTTATAGTAAAAAGGCAAGAAAATACATTATGAACCTACTTATATCATAAATTAATAAAGGTAAAAACACTATATATTATAGTGTAATATAGTGAACCCTCCAAATGTAACTGCTAAAAGATGACCTGGAGAGTTCCAAATGGGATTGCATCCCTCCTAATAGAAGCCAGTAACAGAACTAACTTGTGTTTCTGGCTGATATCTTATAATTCCAAAGCTCCTTCATATACTACATCTTTGATATTCCTAACACGTCTGCACTGGTTTAAAAGAAGTGCAAAGGAAAAGCTGCAAAGTTTGAGTAAAGAACTAGTAGCTAGGTGTAGTGCTCCAATCAACCCCCATGCCTTGTTATCTGGTTCTAGCCCCTTGGAGAGGGGCATCCAAGAACTCCATATCAGTTATCATTCTTTACATGACTATAAAACATAAAATTATTTTTATTTATTTGAAGAAGTGGTTTTGGATAGTGAAAGCCAAATCTTAGTCTCCTCCTGTTAATTTTAGAGCATGTTCTCTGGGTCACAGTATAAATCCTTTTATAAGTTGCGAATAGTGAATGTAGCTAGTTACATGTTATCCCTGGTTGGCAAAGCTAAACTTGTTTATAAAGATCATGTGGTCAGTACACAAAACATTTTCAGATGAAATAGAAGGAGATTTGGCCTCAAGGATAAATAATGATTTTATAGGCCTTGTGGCAAAAAGAAGCAGACCTCACACACACTCACCCTTACACATACACACATGCATTTTCACAAATACACATATATACATGCATGCTCCTCCAAACATACCCCTCCACATAGCTCACACGTAAAAACAAGAGAGAGTGGATTGTACATGTAAAATAATGAGAAGGAAAGTAAGGGGAAGTAATTAGGAAGTTTTTAATTGAACAACAGCATTGTGATTTTATGATTTGCATTGCATTTAAAATAATACCATCTTGGGGCGGGCAAACTAGTTTTGTGGGTAGTGGTACTTGCAAGAGACCTGTGTTCAATCCCCAGAGCCCACATAAAGGTAGGAGGAGAGAACTGCTACCTCAAAGTTGTCCTCTGACCTCTGACCTCTAACCTCTGACCTACACCTGCCCCTTGTGGCTCATTCACCCCCCACCTCAAACTACTAATAAGAAAATTGTTTTATTAAACAATGTTTTTGAGGTTTTTTGTTTTGTTTTGTTTTGTGTTGTTTCCTTTACTAGAGATGTGCTTCCATCTCTGTTAGTGACAAGGAAATAGGTGTTAAAGTGTTTGATAGAGAGAAATGGCTGATAGCAAACGGTGGCAGCATGTTTTTATGAAGGTGCCAAGAACAAGAGCAACTTAACATCATTTCAATAGAAATGCCTTTTTAATTAGATTGAAACACAGCAAAATTAGTTTGAACCTGTCTGTAAGCACTAAATATCACACAGAAAGACATAGGCAGGAAGTCACCAAGTGGAACTGTTCACTGTGATCTTGTAGCAAACAATCACAGAGTATTCTTTGCTGTTGACATGGAACCTCGTCTTTGGGTTTCTCTTAAGGCATGCTCAGATGTGCTTTACTATATACAAAAAGAGCCGTGATAACTCACTCCAACAAACCAAACAAATAGAAACAGTGAGAGTGGAGGAGAATCTAAGAGAAGTCTGGGGACATCAGGTCTGTATCATGACTGTCCCTCCCTGCAAGGGTGACTGAAACTGCCTCTTTCACTACATGTGCAGGAAGATCAAGGGACTCCCTTTTGTGCAAGAATTAGTATGTGAAGATCGTGTCCCCATCATTTATTTTATCTGACAGCTGTCCATTATCACTGCCCTTGCATGGTAGGGGAAGAAATTAACAATTGGCAAATTAAAAGATTTGCTGATACCGTGTGCCAACTAGAAGCAAACTCTGAATGAGGATCACTTGAAGACTTCTCTCTGTGAGCAGCTCTTAGTGTGTTCTGACCAGCAACACAAAGATACCAAGAGTATTTCCTTCCAAATATTGTTTGTAAATTAATTAAGAGTATAATTAAAGGTATTAATTATCCAAATACCACATTAAAAAAAGTAAGACAGGCATGGTGGTACAGCCATTGGGCAGACACAGAGAAATCTTTGTAGTCTGAGGCCAGTCCGAATTATATAGTCTCAAAAAAAAATTAACAACATTAATAACAACAAAATAAAACACAGTTAAATGTTTACAGTTACTGATGTTTTATAATTATTTTATCTAAGCACTACTTAAAAATTATTGATTGTTAATTTTTTTTATATTTTCAGAAAAGTGCCGTTCTAAGTAATTTATTTAGAAACTGCCAATCCAGATGGATTAGCAGACCACATAACACTTTACAGATATAATAATTATGGTGTTCTTCTGTAAAAGTCACCCAGTACAATATATTGCTACTGTAAGACTTGAGATCCCAACTCCAGTACTATTGATACACTAGATCACATGACTGTTGCGAAAGCTTTCCTGTACAGTGACAAGTATTCAACACATCCTTCACTTTTACCCACTAGTTGAGAGTAATATACTGTCAAAAATGTCCTCCAATATTACCAAATGTCTTCTGCCAGGAAAAAAAAAGCTCCTCCATATTTAAGATAATAAATGAATACCCAAAGCTTTCTTTCTACAAAATTTCCATGACTGGCATCTTCCTTCTAAATGTTTGGTGTAGTCCTTAGGAGTTCTGCTTTAATAACTGCCTTCTAGGGTGTAGTCAGAAGACCCATCACTCTATAGTACTCTAGCATACAAACCAAGTTCTTGGCTCCTTTTGTCACAGAAAAAAAAAAAATGGGCCCCCTTATGGACAAAGATGTCTCACCATTAGTGAATTCAAAGGAACAGACCATAGGCTCTTTACTGTCAAGAAAAAGTTCCGGAAATATTTTTGCACCATGGCAGAATGGATGTAATAAATCTTCACCCCACTCCCACCCCCCAAGGTGGCTTCCTTTAAGGTCCATGTTCTTTGTAGGTATAAATGCAAGCTTTTTTTGCCAGGACATAAGCCACATTGCTTTGTCTTCATACTTTGTATGACAGCCAGAATGTTGGGAGTTCCAAAAAAATAAGCCCCAGGAGTACAGTATTGTGGTATATGACTTAGACACTTTCCCCTTTTTCATTGTTAGGAAACAGCCAACAATAACAGACATGATGAATAGAAGGAAAGATAATCATACTCTCAATCCCTGCCCCAAGCTCTGAGGCTCTTGAAATCTCTCCCCTTTGGTGTAGGAACAATATATTTCTGGACAGTCCACTATTTTCAAATGTCAGAATTGTACTAACACTGATTCTCCTAAGATACTTGAATACTTTTTATTTATATTGTTCAAAACTTTCATAAAAGGAGCTGGATTCGTTCTCTCTTCCTACCTCACTTCCTTAGTACCTCTTCCCCTCCCTCCATATAGCTGTAAATCCACGAAGAAAGAATTAACAGTTAAGTCTCTTCTCGTGTACAATGGTATTCATAGAGTCCATGACTTTTTAGCATCAGTGCATAAAGGTAGTGTTGATGAGCTAGGCAGGCATCAACTGAGTCACTCTGTCATGAAGATTAGGACTGAACAACCTGCTCAGAGTGCTTTAAGCTTCTGAAAGGAGATGTTGGGAATCACAGTCATTTTGAGTAACTGGTTGGTTTTGTTGTTGTTTTTCCTTTGCTTTTGTTTTGATTTGGGCTGGTTTTGAATATTGAATTATATTTTTCAAAATTAGAACCATATTTTTGTTTGTGGTACAGCTATGTGCCTTAGGACTTGGCAATCTTTCTGAAATGAAAGGCATTCCTATCTGTTAACCACTGCTGACTCCAGGCACCAGCTAAAGGCTGGAGGCTGTCAACCTGGCATGTGTCTCACTGCTCTGCAGGCTGCTTTGGCATGGGGCACAGGCTTTGTGGTCCTCTCTCCTCAGCTCACTGTCCTTTGCAGTCAGTTGGGAGGGTGTCTGGGCAACCCTGCCCTTCATTTTGGTAATGAAGGCATCGGGAAGGCAGGAGCTGAGGCTCCCACCGTCATCCTTCACTCTGGCAAGTTA